TAGAAAAGTTGCTTACTCCTGGCTTAATGATGCAGACTGGCACTAAGAGGTTCTTGGCAAAATGTCCTCCTTCCCTCTAGCTCATGCCCTGTAATATAGTCCAACTCCTTAGCCTGTAATCCCCAGGATCCTCTCTCTCAGTCTCTCTCCCTTTCTCGTTGCTCTCTGGCAGCAAGACAACACCATTTTCTTTCTATCTTATGGAGGATTGTTGGCATTTTCCAGACCGTCACTGCACCCATGTCATAGATCCAAATATTGGCAGAGCACCTCTTAGCCCAATATGGGAATAAAGAATATTTGGGAAACCAGGTAGCTCTACTTTGCAGCAGACCAAAATTTTCAGCAGTTCTAAAAGGAACTGCATCTGGCAACTCCTGTGCATTTAGAGCCCTCTAGGGGGGCAGCGACACCACTGCTTTTGAGCATCAATCTTCATCCTGCATCCTATTTCTGTTTTTTTTTTCTAAAAGTCAGTCCTGGAAACCCAAATGGTGTGAACAACCCTATATCTCATTTGGTTGTTGGGTCCATGCACACTACTGATGTGGAGGGCGAGGTGTACAGGGGCTGGGAAAACAACAATTTTTTTCAGACGTTTCTTCCAACCCAAATCCTCAGGTCCTGAGCAGCACTACCTGGGCAGTGGTCCGGTCCTCTGTCAAATACTGCAAAGGATCAAGAGTGCATTTTGAGCCCACGCGGTTGATGGTGTAGGGGGACTCCACACTGGCGCTGAGGCTGAGTGTGTAGGGCAGAGCTCCTGTGGGCACTCGTGGTATCTGCTGGGAAACAGTGCCCCCTTCTGAGCCTGCAAAGAGAAAACACATGCATAGCTCTGCCTACAGAAAGTGGGGAGGCTCCTGTGAGGATTCCCAGAGGGTAGCAGGACACCAATCAAGACAGGAAAGGGGCACTGTGGTGCTGCGATTAGCGTGCTGGACTAAGACAGACCAGGTTCAGAGCCCCATACAGCCACAATCCTCGCTGATTTTGGATCCTGCCAGATGCTTTGCTTGGACTCCAAAGCTACGCAGGGATAGCCATGGTTACCACTTGGCTACCACTGAAGAAAGCAATGGTAACTCACTCCTGCCAAGAGGAGCACAAGAGGGTGTCCATGAAGTCACAAGGAATCTTGCTCAAATTGAAGTGGATGTTATCTTGTCCCAATCTCTCAGCCTGCAAACTTAATCTACTTCCTTAAGATGGTGTGAGAAGAAAATGGGAAGGGAAGAAGGGCAGTCTGTATCAGCATTTTTTTTTTTTTAATTTGGAAAGGAAAATAATGGAATTTTATGGCTGAAAGTCTCTCACTTTGAGCTCTTTGCGCCTTCTGATACTTGTCTGGAGGGCACCATCTTGCAAAAGTCTGGTCTAATAACTGCACACGATTTTAAGTTCAATCCCATTAAAAGAATAAAGAAAATGGTAAATTCAGTGGAAAGTGGAAGTTTGCATAATGTGACTGAATCACTGCTAGCTGCATGACCACATGACTGTACGCATCCTATATTATGGCTTCATGTCTTGTATGATTCCAGCCACTCTGGTTGCTGTTTTTTAAGAGATGGCTCTGCAGTTCCAGTCTTAGGTGTAAAGTAAGGAGGCTCAGGAGGAAGAGGGTGAAAGTGCACAGCTGAGTTCACTGTTCCATAATGTCCCAGGCTTGGAGCCCCTGAGCAAGAGGGCTGGGAAGGGGCCTATTGGAGGCCTTGCTTTGGGGGCTCCATGCTGGAGTTGGGAATACAGACAGTTACCTTCAGGAACATAGCGGGGGTTCAGGACAGTGGGCAGGACAAAACGGGCAGCGCCATCCGGTTCCACAGCTAGAGCTTGAACGTAACGCAGTTTCAGTGTGGCCTCGGCACCAGGAGGAAGATTGCCCAGGTTGCATGTGAAAATGTCACTGGTGTTTTCTTCTCTCTCAAGCAGGAAAGCTTGGTGGCCTTGGCTCAGGGCATCCTCATATTCTTGCTCTGCCTATATTGGAGAAGAGGGAGAAATGGGCAGGAACAGGACAAGATCACAGATGATGATGATGATGATGATGATGATGATGATGTTGATGTTGATGTTTGATGGTGTTTCACTTTCAAATTGCTAACTGGTGTTGTAGCTGATGCAGTCCAACACCTGATGCATCTAGCTGAAAACAAGCTCTTTCCATCTGAGCAGAAAGGAAACTGCCCAAACAGCAGAGGGGCAAAAGACCAGCTCCTAATTGGCAAGATAATTTTGGAAACTGTAAGAGAAGGAAGACCAACTTGAACGCAGCTTGGATTGATTACAAGAAGGCATTCGACTCCCTGCTACATGACTGGATAATCAAGTGCCTAGAAATAACAGGAGTCAGTAGAAACGTCAGAAGCTTTGTGCAAAGATCAGGGGCACAGTAGAAAACACCGTTGCTTGCTAATGGTGATAGATTGGGAGAAGTCAATATCAAGAGAGGAATCGTTCAGGGAGACTCACTATCAACACTACTGTTTGTTATTGCATCGATCCCTCTGTCAACAATACTGAACAAGGCAGGCCTTGGCTATCAAACATCAAAAACATCTATCAGGCTATCCCACCTCCTTTACACAGGTGATATGAAGCTGAATGGATTTGAAGCTGAATTAACACCATCTGCCTATCCCAGGTCCTTGGGAAGGACTCGATAGGTGGATAAAATTGCCAAATGCAGTCTAAATATGTAGCTGATTGTGCAACCAACCTTAATAGTTATTGTTTGATGGAGTCAACGGTATTTTTGCTTACATCCTACAAGAATACTTTTAACACCATCAAACAAAATATTGATATATTAAATTTATATGCTGCCTGACTGCCAGCAACAATTTTTGTCATTTTATTGGTTTTCTATGTTAAGAAAATTAGCAGCGCATTCAGGCAGGACAAAAGACAATGGCACTTTTTAAAAAATTCTGGAATTGGGAGAAGTGCAACAGAGACATGTCTCTCTTGCTTTGTTACATCCATTCAACCCTTTACAGCATTTTGTATACAGGTAAGCCTTAAAGACAACAGAACAATGCAAATAAAAGGGAGGAAATTATAGAAACAATACAGAAGGAACATCTTAATGGGCTTTAATAGTCAGGAAACTGAGATACTACCAACAATTTAGGACAGTGCTAGACAAAAAATTTCAAGATATTTATTGAGTTAGATGCACTTGACAAATATTGAGAAGTGTAAATAAGGATACATTGAAACAATGCATTTTAGTAGTCAAGTAAAGGTAAATGTTGAAATATCTTTTAAATGATATTGGTGGGGGAATGACCCAGTAATGTTGCAGGTGTATAACAATGACAATGGAAAAGAAGGGAGGGAAATACAAGGGTAAACAAAGAGGAAAGCAAAATATGGAAGCAGGGTTGTTCTTTTCTGAAACCTAAGATGGCCATGAGTAAATATTCCAATATAAGCAGCCCGGCAACAAATGGAAAAGTTAAACAAGGAAAAATGAGAAGCATGATTGTAAGAGTAGCATTCACAGGCCACTTAAGATCAGACTAAGAGCACAGTTCTTGGAAAAGGAAATACTGTTTAGCAGTTGGCAGATGTCTTTCCAAACTGAAAACATATTCACCACTTAAGAACTGCTAACTATTGTAAACATGTAAAAACAATAAGAAAATATCCTAAGACCCACTAAAGAAAGTATCTGTAAACATTCAATTTAGTACAGCTGATTCTAAGAGCAACATATGGAATTCTTGACACACAATTGGGGTGCATCGATGAAATCTCTGTTGACTCCACAAAAAATGACCTCTAAATCCCTAAATATTTCATTGCTCCATACCTGCTTCTTCTCTCGGATCTGGGCCTCAATCCGTGTCCCACCGATCAGACCCTCAAAGGCATATACTGCAGCCTCATCATCCAGAGGGAAGACAAAGGTGACCTCCACAGGGTTCTTCTCCTCATTCTGGTATTGGAGTTCAGCTACTACATCAGCCACGAAACTTCGGACAAGGACATCCACAGAAATGCTTTTCAAAGGCACTGAGGTGTGGAAATAAGAGAAAGAGAATAGTTAACTGAATATCTGGCCTGCCCCAGAGAAAAAAACCTTGAGCTCAGAGTTAAATGCTGAAGGCATTGAGAAGAAATTCATTGCAGGAGACCTCAAACCCATCAAATGATCTACAAAGCTACATAATTACAGACTGTCAGCTAGAAAGCACCATCATTTCATTTTTAAGCAGCATGCAACTTTCTGTTTTAGAGAGCATTAACCAGTAATCATGGATATTCAATTTACCTGGCACCTTAGAGGACGTGAGAAGGCCACATCTATGCATAGTTGATGCCCACATATTGAGAGGAAGCCAACTGTAGAAGACAAAAATTATAATCCTATTTTTATTCTGATTTAAAGAAATAGCTATTTTCCTACATCATGGTAGGTAAACAATGATTTCAGCTAATATACAGATTTTTTGAAGAAGCCATAAAGACTTTGGGACAGTTTTCAACTGAGTAATTTCTTTGTGGCTTCCTGGCTAATTCCAGATATCAATTGCTTCATTTATAGCCATTCTTGCTTTGCATTTCTATGGTTTAGCTAGATATTTGCTCGGCCACAAAACAAACTAGGAATAAGGCAAGAAACAACCAACCTGTTTGTTCACAGCATTACACCACTCCTATGATCAGGTAGCTAACAAAGAATAATAGTTTACTGCTATAAAACCGTGTTTTTTTTCTGACCCTGTATGTATATCATGATAAACCAAAATAAACATGGCTTAGTTTTATTGGGGCCTTGTTTTTTGTTTCAATTTTTTTTAATGTACTATGTTTTTATTCTTGTTCGCTGTCCAGAGTTCACTGGTAGATGGGCGACCATATAAATTTGTTAGTATGAAACAAAGATATATAAGAAACAGGCCACATCTTTTGAAGGACTTAAAGGGAAAAAATAGAACAAAGTAAATATAAGATCACCGAACCACTGTGGAAGAGATATAAAGCCTAGCTTTTTTAGTATAATTTTGGTACAATGATGGTTGGTTGCTGGTAGCAGCCATTCACATGTGCCCCTAAGTATGGCTTGAAGATACCTTGCTTGTTCTTTAAGGACATGTCCCATAATGCAGTCCATCTCATCTGCAGCCCATAGCTGAGGCAACCTAATTTGGTAGTTATCAGACCCGATGCAGAAGTGGTGGGTTATCTTCTTCTGACATGCACATTTCTGCTACTTTGGTGGCAACTCTGTTGATGATGCCAGGATCTGCCCACCTCCCATTCACCACTTTCAGCTGTTGTTGACGTGTCCCTCCTCTCTGGGACGCTCTGTAGCCTCCATCATTTTACCCCAGGGGATCAGGCAGCTTCCACAGCACTGGTGGATGTAGGAGTAGAACACTCTTCTGGTTTATCCAACTCCCCTCCACTTCACTGTACTCCACTGAGTTGCCTGTCAGTCAGGGCATTTCTCCCCAGGCTGGCAAAAGAAGGGGGGATAACACCAGAGAAGACAGTGAGAGCCACCCCCATCCCCATTTCACCAC